CTTGATAATTTCATTGCTGAAGATCATGGCAGTTAATGTGAATACAGAAATCACCATAACAGCTGGATTAGATGTAAATATCAGCGTAAAGATTTCTATAAATATCTGCAAAAGAAATATAAACCAATTAACAAGGTATAAGACGATAGCAAGTAAGTTAGTTTGTAACCAACACGGAATACAGTCACAGAAACCCAAGGCAAACGGAAACCAAGCCTGTGCACATACTATGCACTTGGTATCTGCAGACATGGGAAATCTGGAAAAACAGATGGGACGTGCAACTTTGACCACCCTAGAAAATGCGGTGCCCATATGACGACAGGAAAATGCAAACTCCCTTCCTGTAAGTCTTTTCACCCTGAAATGTGTCCCTCTTCAATACAGGAAAGACTGTGCTATAACTTAAATTGCCAGGCACACCACCTAATGGGGACAAAAAGATACAAAACATCAAGGTCATGGGAAAACCTGGGTAGCCACAGCCACTCAAGAGGGAGAGGTTTTTTAGTGCCAGGAAGGAAAAAAAACTGGCAGGAAATGGCAGAAATCGTACGCCAAATCCAGTCATTTCTGGAGTGGAATCACAATCTATGGCCTCCACTCCAAACCAACAGATACAGATACTAGTGCCGGAAAAAAAGTGCCCCCAGTACCACCAATACCACCAGTCCCATGGCATTCTTCTTTGCAAATATACAGGGTCTAAAGCCAACAACGAACAACAAAATACCTTTCATCCGTGGACTGCTTGCAGAGACAAATGCAATGTTCGCGGCTTTCACAGAGACCCACATAAAGGATCACTTGGACAACAAAATATGGATCCCAGGTTACAACCTATACAGATGCGACAGAGTGAACAGGCAAAAGGAGGGGGGTTGGGTTGGCCTGTACATCGCAGAGTCACTTGTTTGTACAGAACTGCTTAATGCCTCAAATGATGTAGTGGAAGTTTTAGCAGTAAAGATCGAGAACCAAAACCTAGTCATTGTGGTAGTCTACAACCCAAAGTATTTCTTTTCTTATGCAAAATCAAAGTCGAGAACAACATCCAGTATTGGGCCCCTACTTAAACAAGATGGGTCCTACACAGATGACAGCAAGGAAATGAGTGAGCTACCAAGTCCCAATATGACTCAGTTTTTAGCAAGCCGCTAACCAGACTGAGAGTCGAAGATCAAAATGAATTTTTTATGAGAGAGCCACAGAATTTGGTTAGCACAAGCCTATCTGATGTTATCCTGACGCCAAATGACATCGAACAGGCGATAAATGACATGCCCATGCACTCTGCCCCAGGGCCAGACTCATGGAACTCCGTGTTCATCAAGAACTGCATGATGCCCCTATCACGAGCTTTTATCATCCTATGGAGAGGGAGCATGGACACGGGCGTCGTCCCACAGTTACTAAAAACAACAGACATAGCCCCACTCCACAAAGGGGGCAGTAAAGCAATAGCAAAGAACTACAGACCGATAACACTAACATCCCATATCATAAAAATCTTTGAAAGGGTCCTAAAAAGCAAGATTGCCACCATCTAAATACCCATCAATTATACAACCCAGGGCAACATGGGTTTAGAGCAGGTCGCTCCTGTTTGTCTCAACTACTGGATCACTACGGCAAGGTCCTAGATGCACTAGAAGACAAAAAGAATGCAGATGTAATATATACAGACTTTGTAAAAGCCTTCGACAAGTGTGACCATGGCGTAATAGCGCACAAAATGCGTGCTAAAGGAATAACAGGAAAAGTTGGTAGATGGATCTATAATTTCCTCACAAATGGAACACAAAGAGTAGTAGTCAACAGAGTAAAGTCCGAGGCGGCTACGGTGAAAAGCTCTGTTCCACAAGGCACAGTACTCGCTCCCATCTTGTTTCTCATCCTCATATCTGACATAGACAAGGATGTCAGCCACAGCACCGTGTCTTCCTTTGCAGATGACACCCGAATCTGCATGACAGTGTCTTACATTGCAGACACTGCAAGGCTCCAGGCGGACATCAACCAAATCTTTCAGTGGGCTGCAGAAAACAATATGAAGTTCAACGATGAGAAATTTCCATTACTCCGATATGGTAAACATCGCATCTGCTAGAAAAATGACAGGATGGATAATGAGAACCTTCAAAAATAGGGATGCCAAGCCCATGATGACACTCTTCAGGTCGCTTGTTCTATCTAGGCTGGAATATTGTTGCACACTAACAGCACCTTTCAAGGCAGGTGAAATTGCTAACCTAGAAAATGTACAGAGAACCTTCACGGCGCGCATAACGGAGATAAAACACCTCAGTTACTGGGAGCACTTGAAGTTCCTGAACCTGTACTCCCTGGAACGCAGGCGGGAGAGATACATGATTATATACACCTGGAAAATCCTAGAGAGACTAGTACCGAACTTGCACACGAAAATCACTCACAATGAAAGGAAAAGACTCGGCAGACGATGCAACATCCCCCAATGAAAAGCAGGGGTATCACTAGCACGTTAAAGGACAATGCAGTAAGTGTCAGGGGCCTAAGACTGTTCAACTGCCTCCCAGCATACATAAGGGATCTCCCTTATGTATGCTGGGTTAGACCCCTGGCTGTCTTCAAGCAAGCACTGGACAAGCACCTGAAGTCGGTACCTGACCAGCCGGGCTGTGGCTCGTACGTTGGATTGCCTGCAGCTAGCAGTAACAGCCTGGTTGATCAGGCTCATATCCACCAGGAGGCCTGGACACAGAAGGGGCCGCGGGGGCGTTGACCCCCGGAACTCTCTCCAGGTAAACTCCAGGTAAACTCCAGGAGAATTAAGAAATTATGGGAACTTGGAAAAACGCATCGACGGTGACACAAGCTACCGTTAGTATGTGTCCAGAACACTTAGCTGAAAACTGTGTTGACACACGCTACCGTTAGTATGTGTCCAGAACACTTAGCTGAAAACTGTGTTGACACACACTACCGTTAGTATGTGTCCAGAACACTTAGCTGAAAACTGTGTTGACACACGCTACCGTTAGTATGTGTCCAGAACACTTAGCTGAAAACTGTGTTGACACACGCTACCGTTAGTATGTGTCCAGAAACACTTTGCTGAAAACTTGTGTTTGACACGCGCTACCGTTAGTATGTGTCCAGAACACTTAGCTGAAAACTGTGTTGACACACGCTACGTTAGTATGTGTCCAGAATACACTTATCTGAAAACTGTGTTGACACACGCTACCGTTAGCATGTGTCCAGAACACTTAGCTGAAAACTGTGTTGACACACGCTACCGTTAGCATGTGTCCAGAACACTTAGCTGAAAACTGTATTGACACACGCTACCGTTAGCATGTGTCCAGAACACTTAGCTGAAAACTGTGTTGACACACGCTACCGTTAGTATGTGTCCAGAACACTTAGCTGAAACTGTGTTGACACACACTCCGTTAGTATGTGTCCAGAACACTTAGCTGAAAACTGTGTTGACACACGCTACCGTTAGCATGTGTCCAGAACACTTAGCTGAAAACTGTGTTGACACACGCTACCGTTAGTATGTGTCCAGAACACTTATCTGAAAACTGTGTTGACACACGCTACCGTTAGCATGTGTCCAGAAACACTTAGCTGAAAAACTGTGTTAACACGCTTACCGTTAGTATGTGTCCAGAACACTTAGCTGAAAACTGTGTTGACACACGCTACCGTTAGCATGTGTCCAGAACACTTAGCTGAAAACTGTGTTGACACACGCTACCGTTAGCATGTGTCCAGAACACTTAGCTGAAAACTGTGTTGACACACGCTACCGTTAGTATGTGTCCAGAACACTTAGCTGAAAACTGTGTTGACACACGCTACCGTTAGTATGTGTCCAGAAAAATTAGCTGAAAACTGTTGAGACGAGGTGAAATAAGCTTGATCACAACGCTATACTGAGACAGCTGATACAAATTACAAGAACTCTTACTAAACAGTTAGGTTCGTTTACTAATAAGAAAGTGTTGGACATATATATTTTAGCATTATATCAATAACTAAATTTAATCTACATATCTGTTCTTATTTTATACATAACGAAACATTAATATAAGAAGTTCAGGTAAACTTTTTAAGTTTCCTTCCAAATAATATAATATCATTACCATGAATAATAATAATTGTTATAAATATTTTTATAAACATTTAATTTCTTGTATTTACTGTTAAAATAATTATAACTGGTTATTTATCTTTCATAACACACTGAGTTAAACTGCATTCATTGATTTTATTTTAGAATTTATATATAGAATTTAATTATAAAAATCTGAGTTACCTTAATGATACCTACACATGGACCATCACTCTGACTTTGGAAAGAAGTTATTCAGTATTAATGAACGAATAGAACGTAATATATCGGAAATATAGACAACTTACATATATGATTTTGAGTGGTCCGTCGAACGAGCGAGTATGTATACCCAAAAGAAAAGGAATCTGGGAAGCTAGAACGTGGACTGAAGCTCCCGTAGTGAACCCCGATACCATCATGTCTGAGAGATACACACACAGACTTCCCATCTGCATTATACCCAGCAGTATCTGAAAGATATTGTTTATTAATAATTTTATGTGTTTATGTACAGAATGTTTTATTAATAATTATTAAGCATTCAGTCTCCAATAAATTGAAAGGCGATATATTAAAAATTTATTTATAATAATTTATCGGCACAAGGATATGTTTGTATCTTACCAGCACTGTGTACTGTGACTGCTGACACACTGTGTACTGTGGCTTCTGAGACACTCTGTACTGTGACCGCTGACACACTCTGTACTGTGACTTATGACACACTCTGTACTGTAACTTGTGACACACTCTGTACTGTGACTTCTGACACACTCTGTACTGTGACTACTGACACACGCTGTACTGTGACTGCTGACACACTCTGTGTTGTGAGTTCTGACACACACACACACACACTCCGTAATGTGACTGCTGACACACACACTGTTACAGTGACTGTTGACACACACACTGTACTGTGACCGTTGGCACACACTGTTACTGTGACTGTTGACACACACACACTGTACTGTGACTGTTGAAACACACACACTGTACTGTGACTGTTGACACACACACACACACTATACTGTGACCGTTGACACACACACACACTGTTACTGTGACTGCTGACACACTGTACTGTGACTTTGACACACACACTATACTGTAACTGGTGACACACACATACTGTACTGTGACTGGTGATACACATACACTGTACTGTGACTGCTGACACACACACATATACACTGTACTGTGACTGTTGACACACACACTGTACTGTGACTGTTGACCCACTGTAATGTGACTGCTGACACACACTGTACAGTGACTTGTGACACACATGCACTCTACTGTGACTGTTGACACACACACTATACTGTGACTGGTGACACACACACACTGTACCGTGACTGGTGACACACATACACTGTACTGTGACTGTTGACAAACAGGCTGTACTGTGACTGCTGACACACACATACACTGTACTGTGACTGTTGTCACTCACACTGTACTGTGACTGTTGATACACACACTGTTCTGTGACTGGTGACACACACACTGTACTGTGACTGCTGACACACGCAATGTACAGTGACTGGTGACACACACACACACTGTACTGTGACTGCTGACACACACACACATGCACTGTACTGTGACTGTTGACACACACATTGCACAGTGACTGGTGACACACATACACTGTACTGTGACTGTTGTCACCCACACTGTACTGTGACTGTTGACACACGCTGTACTGTGACTGCTGACACACACATATACACTGTACTGAGACTGTTGACACACACTGTACTGTGACTGATAACAAACACTGTACTGTAGGGAGCATTGAAATTTTGGTCAAAGCTGCACTCTTCAGGCATTGTTCCTTATATACATCTTAGATACAGTGCCAAATATGAAGTTGATTGGTTGATGTTTAGCCAACAGCATTTGCGATTGAAATTTTGGAATATATCTGTGTTACTGAGTAGCGAAGCGCAGTGTTATATGTACTGTATCTATGTAATCTGCAGTATTTATAAACATTAACTAACTTTCTCAGTGATTATGGTGGAGCTGCCATTGCTGCCGCCACCTTAATGGACTATGGCATTATCACCATGGACGACAAAAGTCAAGTTTTTGAACCACAGAAGTTACGAGATGCCAGACATAAATACCGAATGGAGAGGCAAGAAAATGAGCTAACAAACTTGGAAAATACCACATCACTGTATTTTGATGGTAAGAAGACTTCCCACTCGTGTAATGACAAAGAATGAGAAGACCAAGAAATGGAATCCAAAGATAACAGTGAAAGATCATTGTCATCATGGTGAAGCCCGGCACTGAATATTTCACTCATGTGACTCCCAAGTCAGGCCATGGAAAGGAGATTGCCAAGACTATCTATAAATTTCTGGTGGAAAAGAACTAACTCGGGAGCCTGTTGTATGTGTTGGTTGTGACAGAACCAGCTATCGGAGCTAACTATGGAGCCATTCATCATCTTGAAATGTTGCTTGGTTCATTATTTCATCTGTCAGCTTCATGGAAATGAGCTGCCATTCCGGGCTGTTTTTTTTATCACTATGACGGTAAGCCAAGTGGTCCTGAGCATTGGAGACGTCCCATTGGCAAGCAAATCAAGGATCCTCTGTCTGACCTGCCAGTTGTAGCTTTCCAGCCAGTAGTTTCACTGATTTCCCTGCACTGAATAACAAGGTGGCAGAGGATCTGTCCTGGGACCAGAAATACTTGCATAGGATTTGGAAAGGAGTGATCACAGGTGTGGTTGGTGATGACTTGAACCAGGTCCACCGTGTGTGTCAAGGTGGAATACTTTATGGAGTAGAATCCTTAGGCTGTATGTGACAACATCAAAACCCAGTCAGGAGCTGAAAAGAGTCGTCATTATAATTTTAAACCCCTCAGGGAAGGTTCCTTGATGTTGGTGAGGGGCTCTTTATTTAGGGAATTGGATCTGTGCTCCAGTTCTCCGAATTAAGCCTGAATGCCTTCCACATTCCCCCTCCCCCCAGGCGCTGTATAATCCTACGGGTTTAGCGCTTCCCCTTGATAATAATAATAATAAAATAATATAATTTTAAAGTTCAGTGCTACAATGTGGTTCCACATCAAGCTGCACAGTTATGTCACACACAGTCCAAAGAACGTCTTCCAGTCACTTCAATTTATGAGGCATCTGAATAGTGAAGAAAAGAAGATAGTAAAGAAGACTGTCCAAAGAAATCCGTACTTTGCTCGCACAGATCAACTGCTTCTTGGTATGTGCGCTGATGAAGACATGACTGTGAGAGACAAAGCTGTCTCAATGATAAGAAAAATTAGAGAAGAGAATCAGCAGACAGAAGAAAGCTCTGAGAGCTCTGATGAGGATAACAGGGAAGGCACTACAATGGATCAGGGAATACTTGTCAGGAAGACAGCAGCGAGTCGTGGTACGTGGCGAGGCGTCAGAGTGGGCACCTGTGACCAGCGGGGTCCCACAGGGGTCAGTCCTAGGACCAGTGCTGTTTCTGGTATTTGTGAACTACATGACAGAAGGAACAGACTCGGAAGTGTCCCTGTTTGCAGATGATGTGAAGTTGATGAGAAGAATTCATTCGGTCGAAGACCAGGCAGAACTACAAAGGGATCTGGACAGGCTGCAGACCTGGTCCAGCAATTGGCTCCTGGAGTTCAACCCCACCAAGTGCAAAGTCATCAAGATTGGGGAAGGGCAAAGAAGACTGCAGACAGAATACAGTCTAGGGGGCCAGAAACTACAAACCTCACTCACGGAAAAAGATCTTGGGGTGAGTATAACACCAGGCACATCTCCTGAAGCGCACATCAACCAAATAACTGCTGCAGCATATTGGCACCTAGCAAACCTCAGAACAGCATTCCGACATCTTAATAAGGAATCGTTCAGGATTCTGTACACCGTGTATATTAGGCCCATATTGGAGTATGCGGCACCAGTTTGGAACCCACACCTAGCCAAACACGTAAAGAAACTAGGGAAAGTGCAAAGGTTTGCAACAAGACTAGTCCCAGAGCTAAGAGGTATGTCCTACGAGGAGAGGTTAAGGGAAATCAACCTGAGGACACTGGAGGACAGGAGAGATAGGGGGACATGATAACGATATGCAAAATACTGAGAGGAATTGACAAGGTGGACAAAGACAGGATGTTCCAGAGATGGGAACATAAGAACATAAGAAAGGAGGAACACTGCAGGAGGCCTGTTGGCCCATACTAGGCAGGTCCTTTACAATTCATCCCACTAACAAAACATTTGCCCAACCCAATTTTCAATGCCACCCAAGAAATAAGCCCTAATGTGAAAGTCCCACTCAAATCCAACCCCTCCCACTCATGTACTTATCCAACCTAAATTTGAAACTACCCAAAGTCCCAGCCTCAACAACCCAACTAGGTAGACTGTTCCACTCATCTACTACCCTATTTCCAAACCAATACTTTCCTATGTCCTTTCTAAATCTAAACTTATCTAATTTAAATCCATTACTGCGGGTTCTCTCTTGGAGAGGCATCCTCAAGACCTTATTAATATCCCCTTTATTAATACCTATCTTCCACTTATACACTTCGATCAGGTCTCCCCTCATTCTTCGCCTAACAAGTGAATGTAACTTAAGAGTCTTCAATCTTTCTTCATAAGGAAGATTTCTAATGCTATGTATTAATTTAGTCATCCTTCGCTGAATGTTTTCTAACGAATTTATGTCCATTTTGTAATATGGAGGCCAGAACTGAGCTGCATAATCTAGGTGAGGCCTTACTAATGATGTATAAAGCTGTAGTATGACCTCTGGATTTCTGTTGCTTACACTTCTTGATATAAATCCCAGTAATCTATTTGCCTTATTACGTTCGCTTAGGCATAGCTGTCTTGGTTTAAGGTTGCTGCTCACCATAACCCCCAAGTCCTTTTCGCAATCTGTATGGCTAAGTTCTACATCATTTAACTTATAAGTACTAGGGTTATGGGCACTCCCAAGCTTCAGAACCTTGCATTTATCTACATTGAACTGCATCTGCCACTTTTCTGACCAAGAATAGAGTTTGTTTAAATCCTCCTGAAGTTCCATAACATCTACGTTTGAATCAATTATCCTACCTATCTTTGTGTCATTGGCGAATTTGCTCATATCACTAGTAATTCCCTCATCAAGATCATTGATATATATTATAAACAACAACGGACCCAAGACTGATCCCTGTGGAACGCCACTTGTTACAGATCCCCACTCGGATTTGACCCCATTTACGGACACTCTGCTTCCTGTCAGTGAGCCATGACTCGATCCACGAGAGCACTTTTCCCCCAATGCCATGAGCTGCCACTTTCTTTAACAGTCTATGGTGCGGAACTCTATCAAAAGCCTTACTAAAATCTAAGTAAATAATATCAATTTCGTGGTCAACAGCCTCAAAAGCTTTACTGAAGAAAGTTAATAAATTAGTTAGACAAGACCGGCCTCTT